ACCAAAACCTTGTTTTGTTTTCAACACATTAACATTATTTGTAAGTACAACTAAACTTTTACTTTCTTGTACTTAAGTAAAATAAAACCTTTGCTTTGCTTATTAACCTGCTGATTAGTTGCATTATATGCCGTCGTAAAAGTCGACTTTTTTACTATTACTGTCTCCTGTTTACTACGAAATAACTATGATGCATGATTTACTAACTTTCTTATTCTAGCTTAGAGAACTTGAAAAACATGGTGATGGTTTCCTTGGTGATTTTTAATTGCTCAGAGCACACGTTAATCTTCACGGAATATTGTTATAAATATATTAGTGATGTTAAGTTGAATCTCGGTCGTTCATTATGTAAATATCAATATCTTGTTGTTCTGAAGTTTTCTGGAAAGTGTTAAAATATATGTACTTTACCATAGAAATAAAGACTTTTGTTTTTTAACGGTAGGCTGCGTTTCGTCATCGGTTAACGCAAACAGTTCTGATGTAAGAAACGAAAGGTTCACTGGATGCAATACATAAAATATTTGGTGATGGCTTGTTAGACGATTCATACTTATTAATAGTACATATATAATGTTATATCATAATAAAACCGATAATGATTTAAAATATACTATTCTTAACTGGCCCATTACTGGTTTTTTCGGAAAGAAGAGGGTATAATAACATGTCAACTATACCTCTAAATCTTATTCGTCTATATTTTAGCTTTAGCACGTTAACATTGCGTGTGCATCACATTTACAGCACAGAACGATCGTCGTAAAATTCCAAAAATAAAAATTTTCCCGAACCTAAATATTACGTCGTGTATTTCATTAGAAAATGCTAAAGTCAAAATCAGGGTTAAGAGCGTCGGAACTCCTTAAAACATTAATAACATATTCCATGAACTCCTCAACCCATCTCACTTTGAATTTACAGACTAGTTTTTGTTTTTGCAGTTTTTTTATATCTTAACAGATGATAATTGAATATCCAATAGCTCGGTAAATCTCTCATACTTCTGTTATAAATGTACATTTATACAGACAACGTTCGTATGGGTAGAGCATAACTTTTCATTGAGAGAAAGGTTCATGTATGCATCCGCTAGGCAAATCTGATATTGTTCTTATATGTTTACAAATATACTATTATACAAAGTCTGCATGGGAGATGGGTTATCGTGTAAATACTTGGAAGTCTCTCAAATCGTTCTTACAGCTATACTGCTCTTATACATATAAGACTATGTAAAACAGAACTTTAAATTATGAAGCTCTTGACGATATTATAATATCTACCATACAAAAACTACGATTGTGATTTTATCCAATCGTACTCGCAGTTACGACATTAGTATGCCCCCCAGTGGCACAGCGGTATGTCTGCGGACTTACAACGCTAGAATCCGGGTTTCGATACCCGTGGTGGGCAGAGCACAGATAGCCCATTGTGTAGCTTTGTGTTTAATTACAAACAAACAAACGACATTAGTGTTACACTATTCGCAAAATTTAAATAACGCTAAGGAAACTTAAACACGTGCATTTCATAAGATTTAAATTGTCAGATTTCAAAAGCTTAACTATATATATATATATAATTGTATTAGACTTAAATTATCAGTTACATTTTAAAAGCTTAATAATAAGCACTGTCACTTATATTTTGGCAAATATATTTCTCTTGATCAGTCTAGAAAACTAAAACCACTTAACACATTTAAAGTCTGGAAATTTTTTGGTTACTTACAAAATCAAAACTTTTTCTTAAAAAAATCACAATAAATCAATACGTCCTTAATTTTTTTATATATAGTTATATGAGAAGTTAACCAGGTGTATTAAATACAGAAATTAAAACAATATGTATTTAATCGCACATTACTGTATAGAAAACAGAAATAAACGACCTTATAACACCAAGTTTTTACGGTTTGTGTTTTAGTGGAACGCTCCTGAAGAATCTGTAAAGCGAAACGTTGAGTGTCTAATTAAAGAAAAAGGACAATTTTGTGTTATAATGTCGTTTATTTCTAGTATTGTGATTAAATACATATTGTTTCTATTTGCTTAAAAAATTGTAGTTTAAACATAATAGATCAGTAATTCCGACTCTGCTTCTGCTTGGTAGATTAATAGTTTAAGTCTACCTTCCAGTACCTGAAGCACCACCTGTCATGTAAGTGTATGTTTAGCACGCGACGTCGATGTCTGGTCGACTTAGAAAACGGCGACATTGTGAACAAGTCTTATGTATTCTAATACCAGTGTTAACTTGTGCAGTAATGCAGTTATTGTTCTAACGAGGCTGCAAAGAGAAAATGTCGTAGAAAATGTTCTAATCCACTTGTATAACACTAAACTACCTACCCTTAAACATCACCTCCAATGAACACTCTTTTTTACGAAAAAGAAATGATAAAACATAGGGTAGTAAAGATTTTTAATCTCGGAAATTATAAAATTTAAGGTTTTTTTTTGGTTGTTTTTTCAATAATAAGTGGAAAAGTATAAAACGATGATTCTTATAAACTGGTGGTAAGTGGAGCTAATGTCGGTGAAACGCGAAAATGTTAATGTAAAATTATAACATTTCTAATGAGCCGAATCTGAGCTTGCCGCGAACATGTATACACACACACACACACTACTTCTCTCTTCATTTCTAGACTCGCACTCCGTCTTCATAGATTCGCCAGTTTTTTGTTGTTGGTTTTTATCCTGTGACATGTGCGATCAACAAACTGTCCTTTGTAATAATCAAATGGTAATTACACAGTACTGTAAACACACTTTAAAAAACCACTTGATAACTAGGAAAACAAGCCTTTCAGTCGATGATCTTAAAATCAAATGATTTTTCTAACTGCTGATCAGGCAGTTAATTCCACCTATACTGATAAGGAAGTCTAGCCCCCCAGTGGCACAGCGGTATGTCTGCGGACTTATAACGCTAGAAACCGAGTTTCAATACTCGTGGTGGGCGAACCACAGATAGCTCCTTGTGTAGCTTTGTGCTTAACTACAAACAAACAAACAAAAGTCTAGTGTTGGTGTCTAGACCGACTTTTAGGGTTATATCAGGGTGCTTCTTCATAAGACTAATCTCGTAAAGCCAAATTAGTGCTCTCGGGATCTTCCTCCTCATCAGCTGAGTTGAGATGTAAAAATATTCTCAGTATCCTGAGCTAGCAAGAGTTTCGTCTGTAACACATAGTTTCAGTTTGTCAACAAGTTTTATGTTCTTACTAGCACTGAACATGTTGTCAGAGAACGAAATGAGGCCCTGTTCCGCCAGAACCAAGTTACTTCTCTCTTTTAGGCATCAAAGTCATACCCAGTCTCCTCGATGGGACATTTATTCTGTAATTGCTTTATCATAGTATCTTTTCTGCTACATGACTGCCTTTCCTAACTGTTCACATGCAATCTCATCCATATCGACTAATGCAGACCATAACCACCCCATGTATTCTTGTAAACACTGTTGCACGTCTGCTCTTTGAAGTGGACCATACATCATATTCGCAGGAATCTGTATTTCCCCATCAAACATGAGCATGTTCGGCGACTAACCGACAATTTCTGTTTCACTGTACAATACTCCATCATGGCATACAGCAAGTGTTCGTTCCAGTCAGTTCTGTTAAAACTAAGAACCTGCTTGATAGTTTATTGTATTTATTCTACTAAACCACGAGACCGAGGTGATAAAGCAAAGCGTGTGTCTTTATCATAACTGTGCACAAAACAGGGAATAGCCGGCTATTGAAACTAGCTTCCTAATCCATGTGGATCTCTTCAGGTGAGCTGAATCGTATTATCCAGTGCTCATCGACAGATTGTTCTCCTGTAATGGACAATGGATGAGCTTCTATCCACTTTGTGAAGTCATGTATAATAATCAGCACATACCGGTTACCTC